TTGCCCCATAAAGTCCTCTTTTAGCCTCCTTACAGCATGTTCGTTCATCACCCTCCTATAAAAAAGATTTGTTTTTGGCCTTTCTTTTCTATACTGGCAGTCATAAACCAAAAATACAGGTAAATGATCACTAATATCATTTATAAGTAATCCACTAGACATTTTGCTATCAATATCATTAGTAAATATATTATCTATTAGTGTTGCATGCTGGGTTGTTACTCTGCTTGGTTTTGTAATTTTTGGGTATAAACTGCATCTATATAATGTGTTAATAAACTCCTCAGTTGCTGTGTGCTTATTGGGCTTCAACAAATCTATATTAAAGTCACCACATATGAACATTAATTTATGACTTATTGTCAAGTAATTTTCTTCCATCCAGTCATTACATTTTTCTATGCTGGCTCCAGGTGCTCTATAGATACAGCTTATTACAACATTCTTCTTTTTTTCCAAAAGTAGTTCAACAGTCACACATTCGAGTAAATTATCTACTACCCTAGACATTTTGTCTACATTCTTATAACAAAAGTTTTTATCTATGTACAAGGCCACACCACCTCCCATCTTATTCTCTCTGTTTGTGCATACCAAGTCATAGCCTTCAAGGTCAAAATCCATTCCCCTTACAGTGTTGATCCAAGTTTCCGTAATAGCAGTTATATTAAAAGAATGTTTTAGACTACTAAGATAATGTTTTATACTCTGAAGGTTTGCGTATAAACTTCTACTATTAAAGTGGATTAGTGATAATGCAATAGTATTTTCAGATAACAGCAGCATTTGATTCTTAATATATACTGTGTGTAACTGAATAATAAAGTAGAAACATATATCACCCCAGTGATATATGTTTCAAATGGGTACCTGAATATTTGGGAACTTCCTCTGCAGCTATTGGTCTGACCCCGAGAAATGGCAGCGTCTCGTTCTGCCCTCTGTCAAATGATTGGCTGTTCTCTGACGGCTTACCCTCTGGACTGGACCCCTGGTTGGAGTCGCTCTGGTCTGACATCTCACACAGCTGTAGGAAGGCGTGCTCCAGGGTCTGCAACAGAAGAACATGCAGGTGAACAGGGACCAGACTAGACACTATTATTTTAATCATGAGGCTTCACATTGTCTTCACATAAAGCAGGAAATATCACTGTGCAACCGCTGTTTGTTTCTTTGATTTATTTTACTAAAAAGATGGAAGTTCCTTCTTTTTTCACTTCTTACTTATGTAACTCTCTATATTTTCTGTCATTCACAAATAAAGCTGTATCAGAATGAGGAATCAGATCATTTTTCAGTTTCATTTTTCATGTTATCATATCGCTTGATTTGACTTTGAGGTTATTTTAAGTGACAGCGAATGTGCCCAAACGACATTGGTGGTGATAAGCTGATTTAGTTGTCATTTAAGTCCATTTGAGGTTTACTTCATATTACAACTGAAAAACTAAATAACTACTGTCAAACTGTCTTTTGTTTGGGTCCCATGAACAACCCTGGAGTCCACTTAGGGTTCAACCAGTACTCACAATCGCACTGTGCTGCTTCATGACGGCGTCTGGAGGACCTTCAGCCAGCAAACAGCCGTTCCTCATGAGACCAACCTGGAGAAAGGAAAAAGGAGAAAACAGGTGAAAAGGTATTTTTGCCCTTTTACAACAACAGTGTTGGCAGAACGTTGACTATCCTTTTTTTGACGGCCACTCGTTTATTTATGGACAAGTCATATTCCATTCCCCACATATCAAGAGGTACAATATTAATATTAACGTTTTATCACATTAGGACATTTTGGACATAAGAGAGAAGCTAGTAACTGGTTTTCAAATCAGCAGCAAACTCATTCTACCAATCGCTTCAGGTCTTAAAGTTTACAGCTGACATGTGATTAAAGTCTACCTACTCTACCAGACAGAGTATGTTGACATGTAGCCAAGTTCATTCCTTGGTGATGCATTGTTATACCATGTGATACTTGACCTGACACAATTCTGTCAATGTGTAACCAAGAAATAAATCAGTAAATCCACCTCATTCCCCTTCAGTTGGTGTGACCTTCTTTCACTCTCCTTTCATTTAACTCTCAACAGAGATATCTGTGAGCTAGTTGAGTGGTTAGACTGGTTTTAGTGGTGAATTTCTTTAATCAGAGCTGCGTCAGTGTTCAGGGTAAAATGACCTTGGACCTTGTTTTCATGCAGTTTGAGAAAAAAAACTTGAGTTATGCGGTCACATGCCAGAGTTTAAATCTGAAAGTGACAACACACACACACACACACACACACTCTTGGAGATTACCAATTGCAAGTTTCATGTGCTCACATCAAATGTGGACTGACTGGTACAGAATCAGATGCATCCATTGAACTCTCAAACATTCAGATTCACGCATACAGCAGATACAAATCAACAAACAACAGATGGGAGAGGACGTTTTCTTTGTTCCGCTACACAACAAATACAGAAGTATAGTTCAGTTAAGGTCTGACTGAAACACGTTCCCTTTGAACACCAAAGCAAAAGATTTGAATTAGTAACTACAAATGTAAGCAAACCTTTTCTTTTGTTAGTAAAACATAAAATGAAAGACACAAGAGAGCGTCTATACACGGTTTATAGGAGGTTTCTTCAGTTTACACCCACACAATCGGACCTTTTGTTTCTCCTGTCAAACTATTGTGGTCCGGTGTTATGTGGCTGTATTCCTGAATGATTTCGACTGTGAATGTGTTTTATGCATATTTTTGTGTTTATGAACATTGTGTGTGCACATGTGGGTACTCTGTGTGTGTGTTTGTGCACGTGAAAATGATCTCACCACATTAGCTTGCCTGGCCTCCTCTATGTAGTGCGTGGTGATAATGACAGAGACTTTCCCCGTTTTCACAATCTCCACCAGATGCTGCCAAATCCTTGAAAGAAGGCAGAAGAAAACACACAAATTATATAACGCTTGACTTGCACAAAGGTTTCCTAAAATCTGATAAAGCTTACAGCTTCACCAGAAGAGGCTTTCCTGCCAACCAGCTGATCTGATAAGATGAAGTGATTACTCTGCAGAGGGCAGGATATTAAAAAGAAACAAACAAACAAAACCTTAATGAAATACACACAGTGAGAAACGGATACAAACAGAACTACCAAAAACCTTGGATGGTCATTCTGCCATGACAAAGTGTTCAAAGGTCAGTATTTTAATGGCGGAGGAGATGTTGAAACTCTAATCCCATAACTCTGAGAACAGCCACCATGAAAACAAAGTCTGTAGACATGTTGCACAATAGCAGCAAAAATAGCTACAGTATGACTGTGTGTGCGCATGTGTGAACGTTGCCTACTTAGCCCTGAGCACAGGGTCCACTCCGACTGTCGGTTCGTCCAGGATGAGCAGCTCTGGATTCTGAAGCAGAGCTGCTCCAAGAGAAACTCTGCGCCTCTGGCCCCCACTGCAACACACACATTTTATTTTTCATTGTGCACTTGTGAGACGGATGATTTGACCTATACTATAACATTATGGAGGTAGAATGTTTATTGATGCACTTACAACCAATTTCTGTGTGTTGTTATTTTAAAAGGCTTTAAAAAAAACAAGTACCATAGTATCACAGAATATGATAAGGATGAACAAACATAATAACCTTCTTCGAAACTGAAACAGTTTTAAGCTTTTGTCAGATTTGGATGGGTTTGAAGCTTTGTTGGGTTAATTTAGTGCAGTTAGACATGTAAACAACAAGCTGAACCTTGCTTGTCTCCTTATCAGAGAGTCATCTTACTTTATGAGCACCGGGTTTAAAAATTGTGGAGGAGAGGTGGATTATGTTTATCTGTGTGCGCACATTAGTTCATTATCAGAGTCCACGCAGATGTGCAGAAGGCTGTAAAAGCATAAACACCTCATAAACTGGCAGTACTGCATTTGGACTAAGCACAAAAACATCACCTGCTGCAACGAGCTGCACAAACAATTTGCTGTTAGGTTTCCTTTTAAATCCAGGGACCTTGTTGCATGAAACGATGGTTGTATACAGTTATTAGTTGCTGAACAGTTTAAAACTTTGTGTGTGTGGTTGCTCCAGTGTAAATGCAGTAGTATGCTGCACAGTCATATGGACCTACATTTAGTCTAACTGCCCATAACTACATATTAATCAAGCTCATCATATGTTGTATCGTATGTGGTTTTACCTGAGATTTCGGACCAGACTGTTCTTCTGAGGTAGATCCAGGAAGTCGATGAGGAAGTCCATGCGTACCTGGGTTTCCTTCCCTGTCAGGCCATAGATTCGCCCAAAGAAGGTCAGGGTGTCACTGATGGTGAACTCGTTGTACAGCGCCAGCTCCTGTGCAACACAAAGTCCACCGTGTTTCAACAGGTTCTGTGTGTGGATGCCTTTTTTCAAACGTCACAGTGCTCAGAGGAGCGGTAGGGCTTGAATCTTATATTTGATAATTGCTCCTTTTAAGTTATTGCAGTTTTTCATCTTGTTCGTCTGCCATGATTTTACCCTACAAAGATACTAAACTCATAAGATGGTAAATAAGCTGCAGAGCCTCCCTTTCTTCCCTGATACATCTATGGCTTCCACACTGCAATTATTTACATTCATAAGACATCACTGTGTTGTGAAAGGCTGGGTGGACTTTGACAATTATCCAGATTTACACTGACATGACAACTCCTCTTTTTCCTCTGTTCACCGGATGACTGATAAAAAAAAAACTAAATGCCTAAAGCTCTGAAAAACCAAACATAAAAAACCATCCTTGGACTAACAGACAACTATGACCTGTCACGTTAGAGGCCTAGAATTTGTACTGGTTTGTGGCTTTTCCAATTTTTGAGCACATGAGTATATTGGAATGAGTTTGTTTATACTCTGCACCAAACCGGAGCAGTAAAGCTGCTGACAGGCCTAATCACAAGGTTTGTTACATGAAATAAATAACAGTTTTCACAAAGCTTTAAAGGTGTTAAAGATACATTTTAAAACATTCTGTTTACCTGTGGCATGTATCCGACCATCCTCCCGGGAACATCATGGCCAGGAAATGCAGGTGGCTTCCCCAACACAGTGATGTGACCCCGTGAGATTTTCAGAGTTCCCACGATGCATTTCAACAACGTGGTCTTTCCACATCCGCTGGGCCCCAAAAGACCATAACTGCAATGCAGAATGATGAACATTTTATGCAAGAAAGCTCTCAGAACATTGTTATAACTGGTAGAGCTTCTTGGCTTTAAAGTATTGTACCAGACGGTGACTGCAGGCGGCATCACAGAGTTAAACTACATCCAGTGGAGCCACAGTCAGACTGTGAAAGTTACTGTCAAACAAGCCAAAATCAGGATGGCTGACTCCATGATGTGCTACATTCAGGAAAAGATGCTGAAAACCAAAACCTTTTCTACTGCTTCTCTCAACTATTCCTTTCTGTTTTAAGGTAGAATCTTCTCCAGTTCTTAATTGATCTGCTGATTAAAAACAAAAATGCAGTTTTTTTATAATATAAAAAATAGCAAGCAGAGATAAAAAGTCTTATCAACCAAGGGAAACAATCACAGCCATGAATACTGATTTGAGTCAGTCTGCTCCACTCACATGTGCCCTTGTGGTACCGTCAGGTTGAGGTTGCTGAGGACCTTCAGTTTGCCGAATGACCGGCACACATCTCGGCACCGGATCGCAAAATCCTCCTGTCCAGCAGGCAGAGAAGCCTCCACATCAGCCTTCATATTCTCCCCCTTCAGGTGGAAGAAAGAGGATACTTTGTTAAATGTCAGTACAATCTGCACGACCTTCTTTATCTAGACACACTGATTAGTTCCAAATTTCACCATGTGCCCTAAACAAACACCAGAAAAATCATGTCACTGCAGAGGAGCACAGAGGAGCACAGTAACAGCTCGTTCTGTATGAAAAGTTGTCATCAAATAAATTATAAAGGCCTCAGCATGCCCTACTCTACTGCAGCATCTACAGTACACTGCTGCAGTTTGCTTCTGTCACTGAAGTGGTTTCAATGTAATACAGCCATGACTAAAGTATGAAGAAGGGTTATCTAGTCTTCCTCTTTCTTACTCATGTTCTGTCACGTATCCCCCTGACAGTAAATCACAGGAGCATTTCCACCAGCCCATTACTGAATGGGCCTAAGGAACCCAAGTGTCAGAGCATCTCTTCAAAGTCACTCAACATTTCTTCTGGGAAACTCAATCCCACAGCTACAAAAAGGCACAAAACAACTTCCCAGATATTTTCTTCTTTCGCTTCTTTTTCACTAATAACGTTTTTACCAGACACCTAACCACAAACACATTTGGCTCAGCCCCTGTGGTCAACTGCCCAAAATAAACCGGTTTCAGTGGCCTGAATGAACTGAAACTGTTATCAAGAATCACAAAAGGCACCTCCTGCAACTAAAAATGTGTATTAAAGGGTGGTTTAGTGTAGTACACAAATGTCTACAAATGTCAACATCCTTAAAACACTCCAGCAACAGAGAGGAAGCTGCTGCTTAGTTCCGCTGATTAGATAAAACCTTTGGTGTAAATTCTTCCTGTAAACAATAAATCAGGGTACAATTGAACAACAATTGACTCTTGCAGCTTTTGCGTAACGTCATTGTGATCTCAGCTTGAAAAGAATTTACAAGCAGCTGAAAGAACATGCACACCATTCTTTGAAGTAACCCAGCCACCAAACCACAGAGGGAGGCAGCCAGTTTACTCCTTTAGTAGGAATGCAAATGAGAAGAAAAACTAGTTTCCCCTTTGACCTAAAAATGCAAAATGAACCTCACTTCTGTCACAACAACATAAAGAAGCCACTCTCTCCGGCTCCTTCCTGGTGGTTTCTTTGCACCTTGTTGAGCAAAGCATTTGGGTCATAAAACAATCCTTTTCCCCAGTCAACTAACTCCCTCCTTTAATCCACCATCTCTCATTTTGCAGCAGAGAGATTAGGGAGATTGCATTGCATAACCTAGTGCATTTGGTGGGCCTCATCTCTGGCACTATAGCCTACATCCACAAAACATACACCAAGACAGATCTCGGCCTCATTCTACATGAATTAACCCGTAGTTGTTTTTTAGTTGTGATCGTTTTAGATCACCCAGTAATGATGTCTGACATAATGCTTCAAAAAGATAAAGGTGTCCAGTCTACAGTAATTGTCAGCTTGATGGGCGATAAAGCAGCAGTTTAATCAAACACTCACCCTGGGAGAAGAAAAAGGCAGAGGTTGAAAAGAAGAAGAGCAGCTTGACTGACTTGAGTCCACAGACGGAAGACAACAACTAAAGAGCATGTGAACATCAGCTGACACCGACATCTCAGTGTTGTAAATGCAAAGTGGAAGAACAGGTTGGGTTAACCTCTGAATAATACCCAGTTCACACCGGAGCCTGTAACAGCCGGCCTTTCTGTTACAAAAACAAAACTGCATATTTAAAACTGTACTTTTTGTAGACATTTGCTCAAATATTTGATGATTACATCTTAAGTTGCAAAGTAGTGTGATTTTCACTGTTTCTTGCCATAAAATAGAACAAATGAACCCAGCTGAAGACACCACTTTAGGCTCGGATCATTTCTGGTTTTGACTTCTTGCATTTAGAGTGTTTGGCTGGTTAATCCAAATACAGAATTGTTAGAAAATGTATGAGTCTGAAGTTGTGGTTCCACTCTAACACCCAACATCCCATTGATGTAACGGCCCATAATAAGAGAAATCTTCTGGATATACACTTTCCGCTCAATCAACCCAACAAAGCCTGCCCGCATTCGTTCTCTGCTCTGCTCTGTTGATCAGGGAGAATTCCTACCTTGCCTGCCAAGTTGTTGCCAATTTGCGTCACCGCCAAGTGGAAGAAAACGGGCTTGACAGACGCGCTCTAATCTCTCCAGATTCAGCAGCAAGCAATGCGAGCGAGACGCATTTCCCCAGAGCAGTCTAATAAAGAATGGCAACTGTCAGGCTATGTATAAGTCTGCATCCACCAGGCGACCAGCTGCTGCACTTTCACTTCTGCTTTTCACATCAGCGCGTCACTCAGGTTGTGAGCAGCAGTGCAGTGCACGGCGCTCCCTTTCTCCCCCTTCTCTCCGTGCTACTGAACTCATAAAGCCTATACCCCTTCCTTCTAAACGTAAATGTCAGGGTGATTATTGTGTCATAAAACAAAAATCAAGTCGCTGCGACTGTGCATCCTGCAGTTTCTTTCCATCTTGCTGCAGCAGCGTGCGCGTTACTGGAGAGGCCTGCTGCCGGGGAAACAAGTAATCCGGAACGCAAATAGAGCGAGCTGAACTATCCGACAGCATCTTACCAGCTCCTCCATCTCGGTGCAGTCTGCGGTCTTATCATCCCGACCGGCAGCCTCCGCGGCCATGGCAGCAGGGAGGAGGGGAGGAGCGCGGCCCGGACAGCCGGCTGGGTCTCTGCGAGGAGGGGCGGCGAGAGAGGGAGCAGGGAGGGGGCGCATCATGCACTGTGGCACTTTTAATACTGAAGACAGCACCCGTTCACTCTGTTGTAACCAGAGCAATGACAAAACAGTGGGTTGTTGTGGGTTTTTATCTGTTCACCTGTTTTCTACCAGTTCTAGACAGAGTTCGTCTAAAGCCTTTATGGACTGACCTGTAGCTGTAGGAGGTGCACGGTGGTTCTCCGCTGCAAAAGATATCACCTTCAACATGTAGGCTAATTGGATCTGCAGTGACGAGGTTCTTGCGTCTTATTTCAATTAATTAAAGACATATTACAATATGGATATTATGAATTCAGTTTGTGTTAATGTTGTGTGGCCTGTTCTGTTTAATTTGGACTATTTTGATACACTAAAAAATCAAGGACGTGAAACAAGGGGAGCTATCGTACTTCACTGTTTTGCATATTTTAGAAGATTCCCGTCTTTACGGGTTTTTTTTTTTTTTTGCAGTGTGACCAACCTGGCTGGAGGAGTGCCCGATAGCCTGCAGTCACCTCATTTAGCAAAGGACCTTCATTGTTATGCGTCTGCTGCCAGAGCAGGGCTTGTACTTGGTTGTGTTTCTTCTGTGTTTATAAAAGCTCAAACACGTCGGACATTTCTTCCCTTATCAGAACCAATTTAAGAACCAAGTAGGTGGAAATTATTTTTTGAAACTATTGCGATCATGTTGTAGTTCCCACAGAAACCACAAGATGGCAGCCAAAACAAGAGACTGCATCATGAGGAAGGCAGCTCATTCGCTCATTTACTGCACTTGACACACTATTAATTAACCTCAACTCATTTTAACAATTCAGCTTTTTAATTTTGTGCCATATTGGTACATAAATGCACAAACTTTGTACCTTTATGTTGGCTCAAATGAATCTGGGCCTCATGCTATGCCCATTATCCTCAGGAAAACTCTCAGAAAAAATGATTTCCTATGCATCTGAGTTCGTGCTCTTCGCGATCCGGTTTGTCTGCACTAGTGCTGAACATAACCGAATGGATGGGGCTAGGGTCTCCTCTTCCCTCCCAGTTGTTTCTAATTCAAAGTTACAGCACACAGGTAGTAGGACCCTTCAACTTAGATTCATCATATAAACCAGGTCGCTTTAATACCTGAACTCAATCTGAAGACAACAACACTTTGTTGTCAGCTTTACCTGAAGTCTTCACTCAGCCAACAGCATTTCTGTGGTAAAATGCACCCAACCGTGCAAATGATTTTGGAAACGCTACCCAGCTTGTAAGTCCTTGAAATGTCCACAGCGGGGCAGAATGGATCAGTGAAAACGAAATCAGCTTCGACAGAGAGAGGGGAGGTTTGCGTGCACAGGAATGGACAGAGGGGAGAGGGGCTTTTGTGCAAAAGTCAATGAAGGGGGGGGGAGACAATGTGAAAGTCCACTTCACTCGATGAAAGGCCATTAATGTGCCAGGCTCAGGTCTATGTATGTCTGTTTGTAGCTCGCCGTGGCCACACAGGCCAACGTTGTTTAATCATACAAAAGTAGGTTATTGAGTGTGCACATTTTGGCCAATGAGGCCAGAGTCCCATCACATTCAAACTGAATAAATGACACGAGAGAAGCAGCCTGGCCCTTTAAACGACCAGTTATTTAATCAAGGTTGAGTCTCTGCATTGTTGCTCAAATCTAGAAATGAACCCTAAGATAGCCCACGGGCTGCCTAACCAGGTGAAGGGCTGATTAGTGTTCTCCAACAGACGGGGATTAAGCTGTTAGTGTGGAATTATTATAAAGCATACGTCAGCAGATATCCACCCATTTCATAGAGACAGTGGAGCAGAGGGATGTCCTGTTAGGAGACGGAGCTGTCGGTCAGACGTGGAGCTCCAGGAACAGGAATAACCTCCTGAGTCAGTGCCACGACGCTGACACACCACACTACCCGGCCGGGTTGCCTCTGCTCCGATCATAAGCGTCCTATGCTATTCTGCTCAAGATGGCGGTGCAGGCAGCGGGAAAGGACGGAGTAGTGAGTATTTTGAAGCTGCATGGGAAACACGGTGGGTCTAGATGGTGTTGACGTTTGTTGCCTTTGCACAACAGCCTGTGGGCTTTATTGAAGCGCACCGTTATGTCGATTATCCGGCGCTTATTGTAAATGTGGAGCGCCGCGCATTCACAGCGCAAGGCGACTCCTCTTTCATCAGTGGCTGAGTAAGAAATCCAGTAGGTATGTGTTGAAATGTGTCGGCGGTGTGCGCTTTCTCAGGCCGCACAGCCGCTGCTCTGAATTTGCGCATTTACAACGCAGTGTAAAATGTTGCCAATTTGGAGCTTATGTGGCCAGTTTATGATCTCCCGGGGCTCCCGACGGGATTCCTGGTAATAACATGACCCGTCTGCTGCCACCTCGTCATTGTTGGAAGCCGCATGCGAGGCCACGCTGTGTGTATTTAGTCTGCTGAATGAGAGGCCTGCTGCAGCCCCATGTTGGGTCTTTAACTTCAGCCAGGCCAGTTGACCTGGCAGAGCGATAAATGACGGTTTGCATCCTGCGTCTTTTGTCACAGGTGTTGAAGAATGTGGAGGATGGCCATCTGAATGACTCGCTGGGGAGCCCCGGCCTCATCTCACCTGACAAGGAGGATTTATCACGTATTCTGGTATAAAAGCAAGCTTACCGGATTTCTAAATGACCTTGTTTGATGCTGGCTCCGGCCTGTGTGTAATTCAGTGTGCTTTGCACAGACGGTGCCATTCAGCGGGCGCATCCGGGGCGGCATGCGACCAGGGAAGAAGATCATAGTGATGGGGATTGTGGACCTGGAGCCAGACAGGTAAGATAACAATTAGCAGTGCAGGCAAACACGCCTTCTGAAGCCTAGCCTTATCTCAGCCTATCTATAACAGCCAGTTTTATGTTCTCCTTTTGCTGCTGAGTGGTCTTTTGGAGTTTTTTTGTTTTTAGGCTGGTCAGCCACTCCAGGACACACTGAGTAATGTGTGTGCAGCCAGACATAAGGGTGGCTCCTTAAGAAAGCAGAAACAAGGCGTTCCCTCACCAGCAGGGGAAAAAGGGGTCAAGAAATAAGACCCAGTGAATCAGACTTGTTTGTGTCCTTACCCTACATGGAAACTTGTGTCAAACTTGGAAGAAGTCTCCCCATGATCTCATCGTGTTCAGTGGCTGTTGCTGGCACAGTGATCAGGCCAGAGTTCATGTGAATGTCCTGGCTGACAGACCTGCTCCAAAATACACAACAGTTTCTTTTGTTGCATCTCAGCAAGGTTGTTAATGGAAACCAGAAGCAACAGCAGGGATATTTGTAATTAATTAATTTGCTCTTAGACAACAGAAGCAGACTTGTGCATCTGATTTATCCTGGATTAGCTGTTGGACTCGTAGCCCACCTCTGAAATGCTGCTTGCTACACCATGCTGCCTGTGTCACTCCTCAGTTCTCTGGTCCCTTCCTTCTCCCTCAGCTTTGACGTGAGTCTGACCTGTGGCCGTGACGCGGAGAAGGAGGAGTCTCCACACGACGTGGCCCTGAAACTCACCGTCCGCTTCACCGACCGCCAGTTTCTGCGCAGCGCCCGTGTTTCTGGGAAATGGACAGAGGAGGAGGCATCCACCGCCTACTTTCCCTTCATCCCCGACCAACCTTTTAGGGTAACGATTGCTTTTTACATCATTCATTTGTCATCATTTCATTGTCTAGTCATGTACTCAGTGATGCCTGGTAGGCTACTTCCTTTCATATGAAATAAGTGATCTGGACACTTTTGTCTTAAAGGTGGTGTTGTGTTGCTTGCCCTAAAGAAAATTTTAAAGTTTTATTGAATGGAGTTTCCACATCTCCATATCTATACACTTGCCATGGTATGTAACATGTTGATTGAACACAAGATGAATGACGGCCAAAACTATGAAGATGAGACCCAGCAGGCTCCTCTTCTCTTCTCTTCTCAGGCTCCAAACATATCGAACTCTTATACTAGGTATAATCTGATCAAGTGCACTGACGCCCAGATTTCATTTTCCTTTTGAAACCCTGGAGACAAGTAGTGGCAACATAATATTACAGACTCCTGTTGAACACAGCCGTCTTCAGGTGGTGTAGGTGCCCTTGTCCAAAGCTTTTGCTGCAGACCGTGTGCAGCCATTAGGGCTGACAGTAAAGCCCGGCTCTGTGAGGTATGAAGGCAACGTGACACTATGTATACTGTCAACCTCGACCCTTCACAGAAGGTGCCCCGTCTTGGTGTGGTCTTTCAGAGGTAAGGCCTGTGATGATGAATGCAGAAAAGCTGTAATAAACAATAAGAGTAGCTCCACTAGCAACAATACAGTGCAGTCTTTTATGTGACGAACGGTAAAAGGTCCAAGACATAAAAATGTTACAGTAATTTAGTTTTACAATTTGCTGCTTTAACTTTTTTTTTATTGTTCCTGGTGTCAACATTACAAGCAACCAGCAGTATGAGAGATAAACAAGTTGCAGTAATGCTGCCAATATCCAGCACTGGAATAAGAAACAAACAGGAAATGGTTTTCCACACTACATCACATCTATCTGACATGAATACACGCTGTATCCTGTGTAGAGGTCTGGTTACTGCATGAGTTTGTACAGGCAGAGGGCTGAGCACATGCATGATGAGTAATATTCATAAGACCTGAGGATGTGTTGGCTCCTAATGTCATTCTGCTCTAATAATTCTGAATGTGGACATGAATAACACATGGTGTTCAGCTAAAAATACATGATGACAGGTGTTTCTGTCCAAAGTGGGTTAAACGGCATTTAAAATCTACTGTACGTGTAAATGGATACACGAAAGTTAATTATTTCTACTAAAAGAAAGAAGGTTCTGTGCTAAATTGCTTTTAAAGGATGCATAGTACACTGAAACAACAGTGCATCATTATTATTTACACGAATAAGAAGAAAATGCAGCAGTTCCCGTCTTTAACTGGTTTTTAAGAGGTGATCCATGTGGTAGCTCAAAGATGATGTCATTGTTTGTGGTCGGAGCATGACCAGGCAGCCAAAAGCTGGGGGCTGGAGATTAAAGCTGTTGTGCAGATTGTGTCCAACAAACTGCCTTGTGAATTCATAGGCGTGTGGACAGACACATGACGTGCTGTGGTTCAGAGCAGCATGCATTGTTTCTGCCTCAGTCAGTGTGATCACACCTACAAGTTTGTTTTCTTTAGTGCATAGCACACACAGAGACGTTGCTACGGTGGTGTTTTTGTGTTTGGCTTATTCAGGCTCAGCGTGCCGATACAGTGATTGTAAGTGAAAGTGACAGGCACTCGTTTGAATACCTGAAGATGTTTTAGTAGTCTGGTACAGGCCAACACATTAAAGACAGCAGCTGATACCGAGTATCAGTCCAGAGTTAAACACAGCTCTCACCAGAATTCTTTGAAAATCATTTGTCTTTAGTTAAAGCTGCACCACTTCATATTTTTATATTAACAAGTGACTGTAATGTGAAAGTTTGCTTGTAGTGATAAACCCACAGAGATGTATCACCCGTCGTTGCAGTTCTCCTCGGATCTTCTGAGCTTTTTAGCATCTTGTTTTATGGTTTTCAAGTTTGACTGCATTCACTCTATGCTCACACCAGTCGCTTCATCACCTGGGAGCTGTTTTCTCAGCTGACTGAGAATAAAATAAGACCTGAGGGGGCGAAAAAAGGACTAAATTAGAATTTCTTACAGAGATTTAGATATGATAGATAGATAGATATTCTTATACAGTATGTCTGTTCAGTGTGAAACTGCTTTTTCACTTAGCATAAAGACTGGAAACTAGTTGTTTTCAAGTATTGTACACATTAAACACTCAGGATGTATAGTAATGTATTAATGAGAGGTGCTAGTAGATGGACGTGGTTATCATCACAGGCTAGCTGTTTTCCCGCGTTTCTTGTCCTTATGCTAAGCTAACTGGCTGTAACTTCATGTTGACCACATAGAATTCTCATCTAAAACTCTACAAGAGAGAGGATAAGCATTTTTCTCAAAATTCCAAACAGTTTCTTTAAGCACTTTACTGTCCCTTATCTTCATTGTCTTTTATTGAAGTTTATATTTCAGTATAAATGTCATTGCTTCCTAATGGACTGATTATGAGTTGGAAATGTCCTTTGCTTAATCTCAGCTTGTGTTATGGATGATCTGTCAGCTGATCTTCTTTCCTGTCTCCCCTCCTCCCCCTGGCAGGTTGAGATCCACTGCGAGCACCAAAGGTTCCGAATATTCGTGGACGGACACCAGCTCTTTGACTTTTATCACAAAGTAAAATCTTTGTCCTCTATCGACACAGTACGGATACAAGGAGATCTACAGATCACAAAGCTTGGCTAACTTCCATGCTCTTCCTGTTGTGCAAGTCATGTGTGAAACAAGGACTTGATTACAGATGACTACACACGTATGCGCCTGTAATGTCATCATCCATAACCCATAATGCAACAGTGCAGCAGGATAGCAACTGGGAAAAGGCACTGGCAGCGACAAGTTTATGTGCTCCATTTCATTCCCTTCTTTCTGTTACACCAGGATCTGATGTAATGATGCTTTGTGGATAAATGTGTTTGCTCCTTTTTCAGGTTTTTTTTGTCCTCGTAGCTCCAGTTTTTGTCAGAACAGGGATCTTGCAGTTTATTATTAGTACATTCATTTTTAACATTGAATCCTTTAGGGATGTGGAGATAAAGGCAGGTGATAACTTTTCATGGATGGAAAATAGCTCAGATGGTGTAGGCACCAGTTACTCAGGCAGAAATATCTGGAAATTTGCAGCTAATATCAAAGCCAACAGTTTCTCATGGGTGAAAATCTCCGGATTTGACTGATTAAATGTTTCAATTGATGGAAATTATGCAGTTCCTGTAAAGATCAAACATTTAATTGGGTAAACTGGATAAAATGCATATGATCAAGCTTAAATAGACACTGATCTTAAGATTGTCGCCCAAATACACTGTGGAATTTTGTGGTGTCTACATACTGACTCTTGATTAATTCCCACAAGGGCCAAAACACCTTTTTTGAGATTAGAAACTGGTTTAAAGCAAATTGTTGCAGGTTATTTAACACTTTCAGAGCTGAGTGTACTTGGAGTTGTAGTTGTGTTCTAAATCTTCTGATCACAGTAGAGCGCAGTATTACACCGTTTTCTGTATTTGTGCATTGCCAACACTGTAGGCACTCCCTCGGGTTTATTCTTGTTGTCATGGTAACCTGCTGCAGTCTCACTGACCTAAATACCCAAAATTGAAGACTATATGATGACAAGATGTAGCAGAGAGCGCCCCGTACTGTACACTGCATGTGTTTGTGAACAGGAAGTAGAGTTAGGACGGTTTACTCTGGTGGGCAAGGACAGTGGAGAAACAGCGTTTTAAAATAGTTCACTGAACTGGACTCTGTTCTCTTTTGTAGAGCTTAGAACACTTTTCCATTCAAACCTCAAAGTTGTACAGTAATACAATATGCAAGTCATACTCACAAAAACAAGCCCTTCAGTACATATTTAGAAGAAAGTGTGCTGTCAACATGAGCATGTGTTAGGTGAGCACAAACTAACTTCTAAATCCTTCAGTTTGTTTGGAAGCAGGATCAGGTCTCTTTGGTATTTTGAATGTAAAGTATTTGCATTTCTGTAGTAGCTTAGAAGATGTAGTGATGCACAAAGTTGTCACAGTGTTTTTGGTGGTAGGGCTGGTGCTCAGTCTGACAGTATGCGTGTTGTGCTTTTATAGCTGTTCCCTGACTCATTCCACATCAGCAGATACACATTATAAAGCAGTTACATTCTTGTTTAACAGCCAGTTTTACAAGCCTGTCGTGTCTTTTAAGCATTGCATGGTTCTGTAACATTCCACTCCTTCACTGAGGCAGAAAGGAAGTTCTAGTAAATACACAGTAAACACTTATCCTTAAAGCAGAACTTGCAGTACATCTTAAGGTGCTCTTGTTGCTCTATTCACACCTCAGACAGTATCAGCACTCACGAGGCTTTCTCAAGTGTAATGCATACAGTAAAATTTCACCTCACAGATTTTGGATTCCCTTTCTAGGGGTGTGTAAGGTGTAGCTTATGGTTTATTAATGGATAATATATGATTTACTAATGCTTTATAATTAGAAGCCATTAATAGAAACCCTTGGTTGCAAGGCATAATCCCTAATTTTTTGGTAATAAAGCAGTTATTAATGTCGGTAAACAAGAGTTCAAAGTTAAAAGCTATTAATAAGAAAATTTTTCTACTTTCTCACGCTTTATATCAGGACTGAAAGTAAGTGGATTCTGGTCCAGATGTTCTACCAGCTGTTTTATAGAAGCTCAGAGGGGAAAAAAAACCCCAGGAGGATTGGTCAAAGGGTTGTTTTTTTTAAACAATCTGGCAACCAAAAACTGGTTCCCTATAATGGCTTATTACTGTAAATCATTTATTAACCATTAATAGTCCTAATTTGTAAACCAAAGCTAGCTTGTTAGAAAGTGGCACTGATTTCCAATGGTTCTGTATAAAGGTAAAATATAAATTTTTGGTCAGTGTGAAGACAGATGTTTATAATATCAAACAAAAGAGTGAAATCCTCTGAGCTCTTAATGCTGCCATCTTTTGGATGTAGTTTGTGATCAGCTCGACACAGTGAAGAAGCACAGTAGCTGCACAGAGTTGACGTTACAACACTCTTACACTTAGGCCTTCAGTGTTGATCTTAACAAGCTAAAGAACGTTTTCCTGTCACCTTTTGCTGCTGTGAATTTGGAGTAAGCCATGACACCTGTTCAGAACAGTTGCACTGACTTCACTGTAGAGCACTGTTAATGAAGCTTCTTTTAGAATTCTGAACAAACTTTGAGGAAACCTCTCAGTATCATCTCTACACAGTTAGCTGCAGATGTGTGCAGCGTTCATGCATGCACTATTTATTAGTTCCTTTCACATAGCAATAAAGTCACGGCTCAACCGCTGACTGCTCCGGAGCAGGACTTGTTTTCTCCTGGTTGGTCAGATAGAATCTTCCTGACTCCCTTGTTTTTGCTTGGTAGGCGCTGGTTTATTTCAGACACAAACAGGAAATGAGTACGGTTTGGTATGAGGGCAATGCGAAGTTCACTTTGAAAAGATGTGAGCCAGTGCAATGCATCATTACTCCAGTGTTACGGCAGAACAAATGTGTACAAATAATGTGTAACTGTGTTGGCAGGGTGTGTTTTTGGATACTGCTTTTTGTGTTTATTTTTATTAACTGGTGACCAACTATGTGTAACATTACAGATTCCTGTAATGATCTATTGATATACGTCATACTGTGAGAGTGTGACCATAATTCAGCAGTATGTTTCACTGATGTAGAAACAAGGTGTGTGTGTTTAAGTGTGACGCAGGTTCATGTTTTCAGCTCCTCAGCTTGCACACGTGGAGGTGGCAGAAGTTAATGTCAACAGCTGCAGTGCTGTTGCTAGGAATTATGGGGGAGGGAGAGGAACAATTGAAGATTCCCTGAATTAAAGGGCTCAATCCAGGGAGGACTGGGAGTTTGGGACTGTTGTGGGTTTTCTGGACGTGTACAGGCACGGCATGTTTTCTCTGTTGCGTTTTCTGCAGTGCAGGTACATGATAAACTGGCAGTGTACTCGACTAAACTTATTTGGTACTGTTGCACTTTAAAAAAGACCTCAAAACATTGCAGTAAAAAAATAAAAATTTTCAGTACACGTGTTAGGAAAACCTAAACCATTTCTTCCCGAGATAACAGATCCTATGGACCGCTCTCCTAATGATCCCATGTCTACTGAAGAATGATTTTTGGAAATGACAGTTGTCACACTTATCTCCTATTTTAATTGTTCTTCAAACTTTTAAAAATACAACTACAAACTGAATGTCATCCTCTTCCTGATTGTAACGTAATGATAAACACCCAGGTGGAAATACTGTTCATAATCATACCAGTTATTTACGTGTCTCTCCTCTTACCAATGTGGTTGTGAAGTACGGCGACCTTCCTATCTTCAGTTAAATATTGAGGGCCAATGGTTTAAGGGAAACAGTTTGAGTTATGTCTGTATGTTGCCGTTCTTTTGGATTTTGGATGTACATAGTTATAGTCTTGCAGGCTTTGTTTTCACTGGACTAACACCAAGCAGAGTTGCAAGCAGAAAGCATTTAGTTGTGCATGTAAGCTAGGACCTTATGGTTTTGTAAACATGAAAGACTGAGGTGTTACATTGCCAGTTTTTGTTCATGTGAAGCATGCTCTTTCAGGTTTGTTTTACCATCTATCTGTTATTACATTTTTATTTTCCTGCCTAGTATTTATGGTGAATCAGGTTTAGTACTTGATAACAAATTATGGGATTTGAACACTAACAAACAAAGACTTTTAACAAGTAAAACAACAAAGTGACATTCTACGAAGTGCTAAATTATGGTGTTGTGACAACAACGACATCATGGTGTCCATTTAAGAAGTGTCCTCTGAGTAGAAGTAGGCTGATTAATGTGATGTGTGGTTGTAGAACTGTATTATCATTTTTATTTATTACAGTGTAACCAGAATGATTGTATGTTGTAATATAACTACTTCAGGTTTGCTGTTTATAGGAAGGCATCTTTAAAAGTTTTTTTTTAAATAACTGAGTGTATTTTTTTGATGCTGGGCTCTGACATGTACAAATATTACAAAACTTACTTTCCTGTCTGAGAAAGTGTGTGAAATTTATATTGGATCACAGTGTCCCCTATAGATCATCTTTTATCCACAAAACAAGGATAACCATCATTCTGACAGGAGTGTTTTGCAGGATCCAACTCTGAGGATTACCAGAGCGCTGACTGTTATAACTTTGATCTTCTGAAAATCTTTCATGGCTCCAGGCATCATGTGGCCCTCCCTGTTGGCTGCTTGATCTGCTGTTGTTCAGCTGAGCAGCTTTCTGTTCCCCACAAAATATAGGAGTGCTTGAATCTACAACATGATATCTAATTCCCCAAATAATCTGAGATCCATGATGCTGATTTTTTCTCGTGTGTGTCTGGACCAGTTTAGATGAAGATGGTACATTCTACCATGGTGTTAGCCCTCTCCAAATGTTTCTTTCCTTCTCATGCTTTTGTAAAAATGGCAACTTTGCAAACCAATAAAGTTCTCATCTTGAAACTTTCTGAAAATGCACACCTGCTTAACACAAAATATTTGTCAGACTAAGCATACAAAGTAACATGAGCTCAATCTTTAGCAGCTGCAACTTTAAATGTGATGTCAACAATAATGCATCAGTAAATATTAAATACACCAGCTAAATATTAGTTTTGCTACAATAAAGCTATCTTGTTATAGTATTATTGATATATAGATAGATAGATTCAGAATTCATGTATGTACAACTACATGATGTCTAGATATGCCCCAAAACAAAATCATCCATCATACAAGGTTTCAATACACTATTACTAATACTGTCTCTGTACTCTCCTCCTCTGTTGATTGGCAGACACGTGATGTGAGTCTTCTTTCACCAGCTCTCCTCTCCTCTCCTCTCCTCTCCTCTCCTCCCCTCTCTCTCCCTATGCTTCTATATGCCACCATTACACATCACTAACTTTGTGTCTCCTCTCTCCTGTAGTGTGTCCTCTCTCTCCCTGTACCTTTCTGCAGGTTGCCTTGGCCCTGGAGCTCTACATCTCTGATGAGCAGTCACCAGCCACATCGACCTGATCAGTGTTTGATTGTTTTGTCTTGTTGCTTTTCTTCTTCTCTCTCTTCTCTATCCACTCACCCCAACCGGTCGAGGCAGAAGGCCACCCACCAAGAGCCGGGGTCTGTCGGAGGTTTCTTCCGTTAAAGGGAGTTTTTCCTCCCCACTGTCGCCAAGTGCTTGCTCAAGGGGGATTTGTTGGGTTTTCCCTATGTAATAATATTGATAACAGTAAGGTCTAGACCTTACTTTGTAAAGTGTCCTGAGATGACTTTTGTTGTGATTTGGCGTTATACAAATAAAATTTAATTAGATTTGATAAACAGGAAGTCAGCAATTACAGAATGTAATTGAATTAAAGGTGCAGTGTGCGAGACTTAGTGACATCTAGCGGTGAAGTTGCAGATTACAAGTTCCAGCAAAGCTTTCATACACTAACCGTGATTACCATAATGAAATCATAACCCGTTTGTCTATATCCATATGTGTATGTGTGTGTGTATATCCATCTATCTAGATAGATAGATAAACACACACGCTCTCCCAAACACACTTTGTACAACAACGAAGATCGTCTATTTTCAAGTGGCTCGATTCGCTCTGTGGTCTGTAAAGAGAACACCGAGTATTTCTCCAA